GAGGAGGAGGGAGCTGAGGGGAGGAGCAGGGAGCTGAGGGGAGGAGGAGGGAGCTGAGGGGAGGAGCAGGGAGCTGAGGGGAGGAGGAGGGAGCTGAGGGGAGGAGCAGGGAGCTGAGGGGAGGAGGAGGGTGCTGAGGGGAGGATGTGACCCTCCTCCTGTTAGGTGGGGGAGTTTCCTGTGACAGGGCCCCCTGCTGGCCAAAGTGAAGAGGCAGGAGACCAAGTCAGTGAACCCCACCCTCTCTCCTGGGCTTCCTGTTCACATGATCCCAATTGTCCAACATCTAGAGATAACCCTGAGGAAAATGTTAAGTATTTTACCTGAATCCCATTCCTGACTAACTTAACTTCCCCCCACACACTTTGGAGGATACAAAAGACATCACCATCTTCCTGCACTTTCAGTAAAAGGAGACCTTGTCCTGTTTAGTGACTATTCTAAGGGCCACAGAGCCCAGGGAAGTTGGACTTCTTCAAAAATTACTCGCTAGCTGTGGCATTTATATGTAAGTCCCGAGTTCCGTTGCATTCCAGGACTGAGTGGAAAACTCAGACCAAAGAAAGAAACGAAACGACTCCACAGATCATCCATCAAAGCAGTAATTCTTTCTTTGATACCTACTATGTGGGAATGCGCGACTCTTCGGAGGGCAGTATGAACAAGGCCCACACACGAAACCCCAGGACAGCACAGCCCTGACATACCTTATCACATGCTGCGCACATACCAGCCCACTGTGTGCCCGCAATGGGACAAGTGCATCCCAGAGAGAAAGTCAGATGCAACGTAGTGTCTGCTTGGTGTAAGTGTCTACCAGGAATGGCTTGTCAAGGACGGAGAATAGGAAGTCCTTAGCCCTAGGACCGAGTGTCTGTACTAGGGCCCGAGGCACAAACTCAGAGCCAGTGGGGAGCAGGGCCGTGTGGGCATCTCCATCCCGCCTGGGGTTTCATATTAAATCCAGTGACCAGACAGCAGGAGGAGAGCAGACCAGCCCCACGTGGGACACAGAGGGACCTCACGTAGGGAGGGCCGTGTGCAGATGGGTTTGTTTGTGTTTTAGCACTTCTTGGTTGGACCGGCTTCACTCAGTCCTCATTGCATGGTCACCAGTGTGGACCTGTGTCTTTACAATAGGCAGCCGAGACTCTCTCCCAGGGAGGCACTGGCTACGTTCGTTCTAATCACCCAGCTTCCAATTAGCAGCCGAGAACTTAACCAGTAGTTTGTACCAATGAGGCCACTGTTAAAGGGAGGGTTTTACGATCGTTTGTATGATCCGCTCTGCTGTATCTGCAGCTGTTACTAGTTGGCGCCTTTAATCCACAGGACCCCCCTTGCCATCCCTGTGGCTCTAGCCGCTGGCCCCGCGCGCAGTGTGGCGGCTGACGGTGAGCAGTGGTACTTACTGGTTTGCACAGCTCTCTGTCTGTTTTTGCTTCCATCTCCCAGACATGGTGACCATCTAGAAAAAGAGGTGACAAGCAAATCTATGACTTAGTGGGTTGATGAAGCATGCTGTCCCCGAAATCTTACCCCTTGACCCAGGCAAAACGAGGCTGGGGACTGCTAAGACACCTAATAAGAAGACCCAAGCCTCATCAACTCCAGCTTCTGTGGACACTGTGCCTGCCTCCATGTCTGAGAAGGGCGCTGGCTCCAGTAGCAAGGAGCCCCTTGTCTGCTACCTCTGCTGTGAGCACAAGGGTCTACATCACCGTCTGTGGACACACCCCATTGCAACACCTTTCCCTCCTTCTAGCCTCATCCTGACAATCTTTTCAGGGACAAACACAGGAGAAAATGCAGCCTGTCGAGGGACGTATGAACTGAGCTGTCCCCAGACGGAGGAGACCAGAGAGCGAGCAGCCTCAGGGCCCGGGAGGAGGAGCTGTTTCCCACAGCCTTGTGCACATCTGTGCAGATGGGTTTTTATAAGGACTCCAGCCCAGGGCCGCGCCCTCGCCCTCGCCCTCACTGGATAAGCCACGACCCAAGGACATAGCCACTTCTTTGACTATTTCTCGTCACATCAGGTCACATAAATGCAAAACACAAGGTATTTTTAACTTCACCCGGTGACCGTTTGCATGTGTTCAAAAGGCTCATGAAAGGAAGCCTTGTTTCTAGCACAGTCAGCAAGTGGGACAGCAAGACCAGGACTAGGGGTCGGCCACAGCCTCGAGCTGAGGGGTCTCCCGGAGACCACCAAGCTGCCTGGGGACCGGCTTTGGGGACTATTGAGGCCTCTTTCTCATCTTCACTGTCTCCAAAGTGGCGTTGTGTTGGCTGTTTTCAGAGAGGAGGCCATCACATCTCCTAAACTAGAAAGACGACAGAATGCCCACCTGGGGGAGGAGGGGTGAAAGAGGGAATAAGGGGAGGGGCGGCATAGAACCCAAAACCTCAGCACACACTGTCACCCAAAAGCCCCTTGGTGAGGAGTAGGACCTGGACCTGGGACCAGAGCTCTCTCCTCTAGGAAAAATCATCAGGAAGCTAAAGACAGACTCAAGGCTCTGAAAGTCGGCTGGAGTTGTAAAACACACCTTTCACACTGGATGTGCTCAGGGGCCAGTGAGAGGGGATTCCCAGCCCTAGGAAGGACTGAGAGCTCCCCATGCCTTGATGAAAGGCATCCGAATCCAGGGTCCTCCATTCGCAGCGCTCACAACCCACTGTGCCCTCAAACTGCCTGGTGGGCATCCACTCTGAGGACCACTGCCCCCCCTTCCCTAATGAAATCAAACTTACTCTCCATAGAGCTAGTCTGCCACTTTCTAACTTCTATTAAAAAATAAAGCAAAGACCCTTTGAGGTTTTATAACAACGTCTTATACCTCGTATGCCCCAGCCCCCCAGAGGGCAGCTCTAAGTGTGAGGAACTCCCAGACCATCCCAAGGAGACGTGGCCAGAGGCCCGGCTCACACTTCACGCAGAAGCCCCTGGGAATGCCCATCTTTTTGGTTAGACTGAGAGTTGGGAAGGGCAAGGGTGACCCTGGAAGAGCAGCAAGGCTGGCATGTGTGTGTGTGTGTGTGTGTGTGCGCGCGGGAGGGGGTGGGCAGTCGTGGCATTTGCTAGAGGCAGAGACCAGGGTCCTCCGGCAAGCACACTGCCCACTTACACAGCGCAGTCCCTCTGTGAGGGGATGTCCTCACAGAGGACAGAAGTATTTCCACTCAGGGATCGGGGTCCCCCGGAGGCCACCCACCACAGACGTTTCCACAGACGTTTCTGTGGTGAGCCAGCCACATCGGCCCAGAGGCGTGTCTGCTGGCTAGTAACCAGCAAAAGTACTCCGGGCAACTCCTGCCTCTCCAGCAGGTAAATAACTCAAATGACAGACAGAGCACTGGGCTGGACAGACGCCCTGCAGACATTCTCACTGAGCTTTCGCTCCTTGGAGTCACCAGTGCGCACCACCATTTTCTCGGAGCCAGGCCTGCCCGATGCTCAGGCTCCCTCCCAGCCACCCATGCCCCCAGGATGGTGGTTGTTCCCCGAGCTCCCAGGAGGGGGGTGTCTGGCCCCTCTCCTGCCCGTAGAAGAGGTCAGACTGTCACTGCTTTAGGGTGAGCAGATCGCCACCGGAGTTACAGTGATGGGAAGGAAGATGGTGCCCACTTGTGGCTTAGAGGAGCTGGTGGTCCAGCCCGCCCCTGGCTGCTCGGGGGCAGCCAGCCCATGAGGAGAGCAGCCCCGCCAGGAAGGGCGGCAGCTGAATGGGCCTTTGTGCTTGGTCTTATCGGCTGCTGGGCGCCTCAGTAGGAAACTGCGCAGAGCCCAGAGTAAAAATATTCCAGATCATTAGGGAATTCCCTGTGGATGAGTCATAGGAAAGGTTTCCCCGCCACACCCAGAGAGGTTTCCACGGCGACAGGGCAGGCTGCCTCTCCAACACCCACAGGCCTGCGAGTCACAGTGCAGGCAAGTCCGCTATTGTCCTCGAACCCTCCTCCGGCTCTAACTTTACTCTCAGATGGTGTGGGAATGAACTTCAGTCCAGAGAATGAGTTCTGTGAGGTCACCGGGACTGACAGACTAACGTACATTCAGTGACATGGCTTTGTGGTTGTTGCTGTGATGTGCAGTCGAGTTGGTTCTGACTCATAACAACATTGTCTAGGGTTTCTGTGGAGCAGCTGGTGGGTTTGAACTGCCAACCTTGTGGTTCGCAGTCCAGTGTTGATCCTACAGCACCACACAGAAGTCATTACAACACAAGGGCATCCATTCCTCAGACCCCGGCCTCCCTCACTCCTGCTCCCTCTGCTCACACTACACAGGCCCCCCCGCCCACCGCCCCCTCAAGAATGTCTGCAGTTACTCATCCACCTCAGCAGAGACACAGCACCAAAGGAACTTTTCCTCAGGTCAGTTGGGTTTGCTTCCGGAGATTGTGAAGTGCCCACTGAGCCTGGCACTTGTGGAAACGCTGGACACAGAACAGATACAGGCCTGGACCTCCTACACTACCAAGAAGCAGGGCGGTTATACCATCACCCCTGTGAGGGGCTCCAAGGGGTGGGAGTCTGGAGAGGCTGGGACGTCCAGTCCTCCCTCATCAGCTGGCTGGTCAGACTGACCACCGTTCCCCGTGCACTAAGCTTTGATCTCCTCACAGGCCCCTCCGCAACTCCATCCTCCTCCTCCCAGCGTCTCAGAGTTTCTCCTATAGCCCCACAGCAGGACCTGGTCAGTCCATGACATTCCATATGCTTCAAAGGCACCAGCTCTTCAGTCTTCCCTGTGTGTTGGCCAGCTTTCACATGCATATGAGGCATCTGTAAACATCCTGCCTTACATCAGGGGTACCTTAGTCTTCAAGGGGGCATCTTAGCTTCTCAATGCTTTAAAGAGATCTTTTGCACCTTATTTATCCAAAATCAATGCATCACTTGATTTTTTGACTGCTGCTTCCATGGGCCTTGATTGTAGATCTAAATACAATTCAATCCTTGACAATCCTTTTTGTATTCTGATGCTGCTTCATGGCCCATTTGTAATGACTTCAGTTTATGTTGGCATGTAGTCCCTACATGGCAAGCTACTGATCTCCATCAGTAAGTTCACCTTCAGCAAGCAAGGTTGTATGATGTGCACACTGCAGGACTGAGTCTTGCTCCAATCCTGATGCCACGTTCTTCTTCGTATGGTGCAGTTTCTTGGATTATTTGCTCAGCATACAGACTGAGTAAGTGTAGTGAACAGAATTAGCATGTTCTAACCCAGCAATTCCACTTGTAGGCACACACCCAAGAGGAATGAAAACACAAACTCAAACAGAGATCGGCACATCACTGTTCATTGGGTGGATAAACACAATGTAGCATATACACACAATGGAGTATTACTCAGCCATAAAACAGTTCTGGGCCACCACGTGAGAGACGAGGCTTCACTGCTAAGACACCTCATGGAGAAGCTAAAAGGAGGGAGACAGAGCCAACTGTCTCAGCTCCCAGGTGCTGTGAGCCCTGCAGCCATGGGAGTGACCACTGGCAAGACCAGTGGCACCACCCAGCCGAGTTGCACCCTGACGCGAGAGCTGTGTTCACGTGATGTGGGCATGTTTCATCGACAAAACGCTGGTGGGCATGGTTTGCTGCAGTATAAACCAAAGCAGGTTTCATTCATATATTGGGAAAATGGCACCAGACAGCCAGCTCACTGTACAGAAAGGAGCTATATCCGAAGGCAGCCTGAAGAACTAGCTGCATCTCAAAGCCCTGAGCTTGTCCCTGCCTCAGGTCAGGAAATAAGAGCCAATGCCCACTAGAAATGGAGTCCATGCTTTGTGAAGGCGTTTTCTCCTTTCCCACTGCTCACTTATTGACACAGGTAGGTCCTGAAGACCAGGTCATTGTGGGAAAATGGAGGATGACCACACCATTCCATAACAGCCAAAGCAGAGAGTCATGGTCCAGCAAGCTGACACAAGACCTTGGTCATCACAACCAGTGGTGTTCTTGTCTCGCCCCTCCACACTGAGCTTCCTCGCGGCAAACCTGCTTCTTGATGAATAGTCTCCACAGCCTTCTGAGTGGGGTCTTCAGATGCCTCCCACCCACAACCATACCTGAGGCCATAGACAGTCCTTCTGGGGGATCTATTTCAGACCCCCAGGACGACTCTGCTCAAGGCCCTTCTGGGGCTCCTTCTCAGACCCCCAGGATGACTCTCTTCACGGTCCTTCTGGGGGACCGTCTGGGGACCCTCCTCAGACCCCCAGGATGACTCAGTTCCCCAGATGCAGAGATGGAGGTGAGGGAGCTCAGGCACCGCTCTCACTGGCAAGTCCCGGCATGTTGCTTCCTTGGGGACTCCTCCACCTGAGTCACCAGGAAAGAAAACAAAACAAGAAGCCCCCAGGGAGGAGGGGTCATCAAGACAGCTCCCTGAGGGTGGGAGGAAGCACTGCTCTAGAAACTTCTAAAGCTGTCCAGCACTGAGTCACCTTA